CCGGTTCAAAGATTCAATTGATCCTACACTGCATGTGCCTTGGGTCTCACCCTGGTGGCTGAGACAGGCCACCCCAACCGACTTGGTGGCACATCAGTGTCAGCCTTATCCCCAGACCGACCCATTGGTTGTGAACATTCTAAACTAACACGAGTCTCATTAAGTGTCCAGTTTAAGAGTATTACATAGAAACACACCAAAGGAACATGAATCAAATATGTACTTTATTCATTTACAACAAACTCATAATGTACATCATTCTGATTGAAGTTAAGGGCATACAAAAACTATCTAACAATATGGAATGGCTTTCATAAAGCAAGTTCTTTAAAAAACAGGGTTTGGAGAGAAGTGGATCACCTAGATCATGGAGTGTGTCACTACTATTTCCTATAGAATTCTAGTGAATGAAGCTCCAGGTGAAACCTTCAAACCCCAAAGGGGCCTGAGACAGGGGGACCCTCTATCCTCTTATCTATTTCTCTTCATTTCTGAAGCCTTCTCAAGTAAAATAAAAAATCTAGTTGACCAGAATCAGCTCACAAGTATTAAATTGAATAGGGAATATCCCAAAATCTCACATCTTTTCTTTTTTTTTTTTCACAGATGAGTTACCTATTCACCAAAGCTGGTCCTAATGAAGGGCATGTCATTTTGGACAAAATTCAATCTTATGAAAGAGCTTCGAGTCAAAAGGTAAACTTTGCAAAACCTGAGGTTCTCTTTAGTAGAAACTTACATGCTAGACTCTAGAAAATAATGTCCAAAATGCTTAAAATGAAAAAAGTGGATCACCCATCTATTTACCTTGGCCTCCCTATTGAGGTTGGGAGGTCAAAGAGAGAACTGTTTAACTACTTAGTGGAAAGAATTGATAGAAAAACCAACAATTGGTTTGACCTAATTCTCTCCCCGATGGGGAAAGAGGTTCTCCTAAAAGTAGGGGTGACAACGGTATTCAAAAATCTGATTTCAAATTCGTTCGACCTAATCGAATTGAATTCAGATAATTCGAATATCTAATTGGTCAAATTCGAATATCCTATTCATACCAAATGGTTAATCGGATTTGAATTCAGATATGACCTGATTCGATTTGATAAATATCTGAAATTCGATCGATTATTTAATTCTTATATATAATGTATAAAATATTTAATTAAATGTTTTATATAATTTATATATATAATAATTAAATTATATAAATAATTTATATACTTATATACTTTATATAAATAAAATATTTATTTTATATATTTATTAATTACCTAAAATAACTAATTGGTCAAATTTGAATTGAATTGAATATTCAAATGTTTAATCAAATTCAAATTCAAATATTAATTTTTAATATCCGTAAGCTATGAATTGAATTCGGATATTGCTTGATTTGATTCGAGTTAGACCCGTTTACACCCCTACATAAAAGCAGTAGTCTTTGCAATTCCCTCCTACACAATGTCATGTTTTCCTACTGCCAAAATCTATGTGTTTAGAGTTGAAAAAAAAAATCAGAGAAAACTCAAACAAAACAAAGAAAATCCACTGGGTTAAATTGGGATGTGATTAGTAGAAATAAAACGAGTAGAGGTCTAGCCTTCGGTAACTGGCTGGATAGCTTGCATTGGAACTTGACAAAAAATGGGGTTTTCTCGGTCAAATCAACTTATTTTGTTGTAAAATCTTTACATGGTAGCAAAGTTGAATTCTAGAATCAAACAAATCCTATATATCAGGCTTTGGAGAAGAAACACTGGAAACAAATTTGGGCTCTTAAAGTAGACCCAAAAGTGAAATCCTTTATATGGAAATGCTACTGGAATGCTTTAGCTATGAAAGAAAATTTACAAAAGAAAGCTATTTCAAATTTTGCTATTTGTCCAGTTTGCAATCTGAATGTTGAATCTAGTATGCATGCTTTATTTTTCTGTACACATGCAAAAGTTGCATGGTTTACCAGTCATTTAAATATCAGAACTGATCAGTTTGATAATTTAGAAAATTGTGCTTCTTGGTTTAGTAGCTGGTTTGTTTTTTGCTACAACTTGGGCAACTTGGGTAACAGAAAGGAATAAGTGTTGAGCTTCTCTTGTTATTTGTTGTGGATGGTATGGAACATTTCTGAAAATACAGTTCCTGATCCAAGCTTGGCTGTTAATTGTTCTAACAGGAAGATGGAGGAGAGGAATCTGATTTCCCCTCAAAATGTTTTTTGGACAGCTCCTACCATCAACTGTCTTAAAGTGAACCTAGATGGTAGTTTTTTGGATGTTGGAAAAGCTGGATATGGAGTGATCATTCAGAATCATCTGAGCTTAACAATAGCAGTTTCTTTTGGTAAATCCCAAGTATCATCTCCAATCCAAGCTAAAGTTGTGGCTATGTTGAAAGGACTAGATCTTCTCAGCAGGTTAAACCCATATGAAGCTATTTTGGAAAGTGATTGTGCAAACATTATACAACTCTTAAGTCTGGAGACAGTGACAAGGCTCAGGATGTAGTGTTTTTGTGCAAAAACATTATGTATCATGCCGAAAGTTTGAATGTATCTTTGAATTTTGTTAATAGATCTTTAAACACAATGGTCCATGCGTTGGAAAAAAGAGGTTTAGTGGAGTCCTTTTTTTTTTTTTGATAACTACCTTTCTTGGGTTGTTAATTTGGTTAAAAAAAAACTCCACTAGACCTGTTAATACTTGTACCTAAAGTTCTGTTTTGTGTGGTTGTTAATATATTATCTTAGGGGTGAGTATCCGCCGGTTTGGTTTGGTTCCATTGCAGAACCTGGAACCTATTCTATAGAGGTTGGTTCCAGGTTTTTGGAACCGAAACCTACCCAGTGAAAGTCGGTTCTGGCCTTGGTGATTTCGGGGTCGGTTCCAGGGTCTATCCATGGAACTGCGCTTTCTTTAGCCTCCCCCTTAACAAAAGAAAAGCATATTCTTTAAAAACTTGATTTTTAATAAATATAATATATAGCTTAAAACTTATATTATCTTTATTGATTAAATTGGATAACTTAATATGTAGATTATCAATACATGGTTAAAAACTTATAAATTAAATTTAAATTTTGTAAATATTACTTTTTACACTATTTATTATACACATTCAATAAATATTACCTTTGTAACCATGAATGCTTAGGTTCAAATCTTCTCATCCCAAAAAATATTCTAGGGTTTATTTCAAGGCAAGTTTGGTTCCAAAGCAGGTTCCAACAAGGTCGGTTCCACCAAGGTTGGTTTGAGTAGGGTAAACCCCTAGACCTTGGGACCAACTTGGGTGGGGACCAGTTCCAAGAATTTGGAACAAGACCTTACCTTGTAACAGATTGTGTAAGGTTGTTTTAAGACCGGTTCAAGGTCAGTTCCATTCGGTTCCAGGTATAACCTACCCATTTGCTCACCCCTATATTATCTTGTGTAGGGATGGCAATTTCCCACGTAAAACTAGGGCCCTGCCCTGCCCCACCCCGAATGGAGCAGGTTTTCCCCAACCCTAAACAGAGACGGGGCGGGGATGGGGAAAATATTTTTTCTCCAAACTGGAGACGAGTTTTATATATAATTCCCCAAACTTGCCTAAACCTGAAGGTAAAATTAGTAAAATATCTCTAGGTTTAATATTGATATTTAAAATATCTCTAAGGTTTCCATAAATTCTTAAAATCCTAGAATCCCATAATTCCATTTTTGAAGTACCCCAAAAGTATTATAATTCAATTCCTAAAATACCCTCAAATTCCTATATTATGTGTAATTGTCCACAAAATAACTAATTTTTAAGAAGTTGCCTTGGAATGGGAAAATTCGGGGATTACCCGTCCCCAATGGGGAGTGGATGCCCCGCCCCACCATCAAGAATGGGGCAAAGTATCTTGACTACGGGCGGGGACGAGGAGGGGGTGCCCCGCCCCAAACCCGCCTTGTTGCCATTCCTAACCTAGTGCTACTAAAAAACATCATATTACATAAAGAGTTGTTATTTTAATATTTTTACATTTTCACCTTTACAGGTGCATAGCATGTGCACTTTATTAATGTTTGGGAAAATTCCCAATTAGTACCTTATACTTTGTGTCTAGTACCACTTTGGTCCTCGAACTTTAAAATACGACAATTCAATACCCAAATTTTCAAAATGTAACAATCCAGTACCTGCCATTAATCAATAGTTAACCTACCGTTAAATGACATTTGAAAATGATACAAATGCCCTTTAAGTGTCATTTAATTTTCTTTATCAATCACCTAAACGTTAACAAAAAATTAACAATTTCAAATCCTTGCTTCTTCCATTTAAGAAAGTTGGGATTGTTTGAATGGACATTCTGATAACTCCAATTTTTTTGAATAGAAGAGACAAGAATTTGAGGCTATTAATTTTTTTTGTCAATATTTAAATAATTGATAAAAAAAATTAAATTGAATGAGATTTGAAAGATATGTCTTGTAAAATCTTACTTAACGAGTGATTAACAGCTGGTTAACGGCAGCTACGAATTGCCACGTTTTTTTGAAAGTTCGGATATGTTCGTTTTGTCATCTTTAACTCGCTCTTTGTCGGGCGTAGTTGAGTTCGAAGCTTAACAAGGAATTTGGAGGTGGGACTCCATGATGCTTCGTCTACGGAAATTCAAATGCTCCAACCATTCATCAACGATCATCTAAGTCAACGATTCTGGCCAACCAACCGAATGGGAACAAAACATCAACGATCATCTAATAAGTGGGGCCATCATTTGAACAGTATAAATCAATGAACAATATGATCTGATCTGGGTTGACTGGCAGATGGTGCTCACGATTCACGAACAAACGATGGTCAAACCACATTAATCTTAACCGACCTTCTTGTAATCCGCGTGGTTCATTGCTTCATACTTCATAGCGTCTCGGGAGAGAGGGAGAGAGGGAGAGAGAGAGAATGTCGTGCTTGCTGTCGTGCTGCGCGTCTTGTACTTGTGGCCTCTGCAGTTCCGTGGCTTCTGGTATCTCAAGGCGCTCGGCTAGGCTCGCCTACTGTGGTCTGTTTGGTGCATCTCTTATCGTCTCATGGATTCTCAGGGAGGTTGCAGCTCCTCTGATGGAGAAGATCCCATGTGAGTCCACCCTTCATATTCTCAATTGGGTCTTGTTTGTCTTGCTGTTTCCGTTGACGTTAGCTTCATTTTTTCTCCTTTTCTTACCTCCTTAACTTCATCCTAAAGCGGAGTAATTTAGATGTTAGATCAAATATGTCTCGGAAAGAAGCCAATCAATGTTACCGTTTTTATCATTTCGATTTTTTCTAAATTGGGGTTTCACTTGGGTTCTTTTAGGGTGTAATTGTTGATGACCATTTCGTGTACAATTTCTTATGCGATTTGGGTCCTTTGTACTGTCTTGGAGCCTCTGAATTGGAATTTTCTTTGGTTTGATTTGTTTCAGAAGTTCAGTTTCGTAGATTTAATGCTCAAGGCCCTGCTTTTGGAGAAAATGAGTTCAACCTTTCGTATACAAATAGGATTGTCTTGGTTGGTTTTGGCTTCTAGTTTGATATTGTACTTTTTCCCTAGTGTCTTGCTTCAGAGATTATTTCTGAGAAATGTTTTGAAATGCAATATGTGATTTTTCTTACACATATGCACGTGGGATATAAGTTAATAGAATTTAAAGACAAATTAAAAGTTGAAGGAAAACGGAATAGAGGGGAAGCAACTTAACTCAATGTGGCTTCAGATGGCAAATTTTATTAGAAAAGTGCTAAAAAAATCTGTGGGAAACAAAAGTAAAAGACAATTATCTAAAGAAACTTGGTACTTGGTAGTGAAACCAAAAAGTTCAACAAGCCATTATATCTAAGGTTTCTTGTTGCGAAACTTTCAAACAAATAGAAACGGAAAAAAATTAAAGACATATAAATGTCAAAATAGAAGTTAAGAATTCAGTAAGGGAAGCTAAACTTAAGATATTCAATGAAGCCTGGTAGAGAAGGTGAAAGAGAGACATAGATTAGGAGGAAGAAAAGTAAGGACTTCAGATCACCTTAGATTCATCAGAAGTGAAAAACAAAGAATTCTAATAAAAGATAAGGGGATTAACAGAGAGGTGGAGAAGCTATTTTCAGATATTATCAAATGAAGAACATATTAGGAGCACAAATTTTGAAAATCTTAGAGCTTTGTAGAGAGTATAGAACATAGATATATTTGAATTCACAGTTAAGTCATGTTATATGGCTCTCAGCAGATCTATCTTAGATTCAAGTCATATAAAAGGTATTTGGGGAAATCCAGTACCTCCAAGAGTTGAGGCTTTGACCTGGCTGGTAGCCATGGACGGTGTATTAACAGTTGATCATCTGAAATCTAGAGGTTTTAGCATGGCTAACAGATGCTGTGTGTGTGAGGGGCAGGAAGGGGATACTACTCACTTATTCATATCTTGTAAGTTCTCAAGCTTCTTATGGAAAGTGTTCACATCTATGTTCAGGGTCTCAGGCTTTCACCCAATTTCAACAGCAGAGATTTTCTCTACTTGGCCCAGGCTGAGTGGGAGTAAGAAGGTAAAATTGCTGTAGAGTTGTATCTCATTTGCAATCTGCTGGAACATTTGGAAGGAGAGGAACAGAAGGATCTTCGAAGATAAAGCTTGCAGCATGGACAAGATGGTTGCAGTTGTGGGCAGATCAGTGATAAATTGGTTACTGATTCTTCCAGAGTTCAGCCAAGTAGAAAGAGAAGACTTTGGTTTTAGATTAGGAAAAATCCTGGATTTTCAGATATGTATTGTGGAGAATGTTCTTTAATCTGAATTTTGGTCTTTGTATTCGGGTAATGACTTGTGACCTCCTGCTGTAGCTTCTTTTTCCCTTTAATATTTTTATTTTTTCTTATAAAAAAACATAGATATATTTGAAGAACCCAATCTTTGGAGGTTAAGGAAGCCTTAAGAAGAGTTAGGCAGGATAGGCTTTGGGACCTTGATGGTATCACAATATAAGTTGGGAAATGCATGGCTGAGATGTCCTTATTATGGTTTTTTGGTTGGGAGCTTATTATGGTTGACTATGACTTAAAACAAAATGAGTGAAGTATAAAGGCTCCTATATATGAATAAAGGCAATATTGCAAAGTTATAATTATTATTGTGTAATTAAGGTTACCATACTAGGAAAGTTTGGGAAATGGTGATTGAGTGACTAGGACATCAAACTAGTACATTAGAAAACCAATTTGCATCATTCTAGGAAGATCAACCATTGGAAGCTGTCTTTTGTTTTAGGAGATTAATAGTAAGGAACAAGGGAGAGATCTCCATTTGGTATTTATCAACTTAGAAAATGCATACAATAGGGTCTCTACTCCCTAGAGAAGTTATCTAATGGACTTAGGGAAAAAATTGATATTAGAGATATCTATGATGGGGCAATAGCTGATTTAAAAACTCAGGAAGGGAAGATAGGAAAATTTCCAATCACAATGGACTTATACCAAAGGCCAGCACTTCGTGTATATCTTTTTGAATAATTTATAGATGACCTAACTAGAAATCGGTATGTGTGTGTGTTTGTATTTTATTGGCAACCAGAAAGATCAAATATTAATTATCAAAACAAATATGTAYGCTACAATCAAGGGCAGAGTGGGGGTCCTTGCTCCCCCCCCCCCCAAACTTTTATAGTTTTCTGCTTTGTTAGACTAGATGGGAAAACTTTGGCTATTGACAATCGCCTGTTAACCTCACATCACGCATGTCCTCCCCATTAAAATGTTAAGATCCCACCCACTTAATGTCCCAAAATTAAAAATTATTTGTTTTTTTTTAGTTTGAAAAATAATAACAAACCTTTTATAATCAGCCCAAATCCTCCGGCCCTCCCTCTCCCTTTTCATCTCCTCCCACCCTATTTCTCTCCAAACCCGGCTCCTCTACTCCCTATTTCATCTCCTTTGTTCTTGGCTTCTTGCCAAGAAGACACCCCGTGGAAAAACAAAAACACCCCTATTCAATTCTGTAATGGATTCTCACTTGTACAGATTCCCTTTGTATAGAGGGTTTAGTATAAAGTTATAACTTTTTCATTACCATAAGCCAAAAAAAATGTTATATAACTCAGTCCCCAAGAGAAAATTCCTGGCTCCACCACTTGTTACAATGTAAATAAGTTTTTGTTATGCCAAGAACACCCTGCTTATGTAGACTAGGCCCCAGCCTACCTACACAGCCCATTACAACTTTCTTCCCTCCTTACAATCACTCTCCCTAGGAAACAATGCCCCAACATAACTGATTTCTGTGAATGCCTTTTCTAGCTAGCACATCTTGCTAGACACCTAACCATTTACTGATATCTCAACCCATGGACACTTGCTGCCACTTCCTCAAACCATTTATAATCTCTGCACCTCTCTCATATTATTTGTAGATGATATGGTATTAATTGATAAATCTAGAGATGGGCTGAATGCAAGCTAGAACAACGGAGATAGCAGATATGCTTTAGAATTAAAAGGTTTCAAGATAAGCCAGACTATTATTTAGTGCATGTATTGCATTTTCAATTAAAATATTAGCAATAATGGTGGTGCATTTAAGATTGATGATCAGGAGGCACCCCAAGCTAACTATTTTCATTACTTTGTATCAATCACCCATAAAGAGGGAGAAATTAGGAGAATGACAAACTATCATATGCTGGATGAGAGCCCAAGAATCAACTCCCTGGAAATTTAGCCATTGGCTAGACGGGCGCATCATCTAGGCACGATTTTGAACTCCTCATTCAAATGGGTGTCCAGAAGTGCAATATGTTGGCAGATTCTTTAGATCTTTCCAACTGCCACCAATGATTCAGTTTGGTTCTGTTTAAGTTGGATAATAACATTTTAAGATCTTTCCAACTGCCAGTGATGGTTCAGTTTGTCTCTTCATTCAATTCTTTTAATTTGAGGTTCTGCCAATTCAAATATTACTGTCAAACTGTTACTAGTAATGGAACCAGCAACTGCAGTGATCAGCTGCTATAATTATGACAGTCCCTTTCCATTTGCTTTGTCTTTCAGCTGGTTTTCTTTATCAGGTTAGTTTTCTAGATATACGTGGTATTTGTATTTTGTGTCAGGACAAATTTCACTACTGCCACCAGTTATTATGATCCAAATAAATGCATTCACAAGGTAAAGAGAATTGATGTGGGAAGATGATAGAGCCCCGACCGATTCATCTTTGGTGGATAGAAGCCCAATCAAACCCGGGATCCGAGTAAGGGTACAACACCTGGCAGCACCTCTAGTGCAATACGCCACCAGTTATTATGATCCAAATAAATGCATTCACAAGGTAAAGAGAATTGATGTGGGAAGATGATAGAGCCCCGATCGATTCATCTTGGTGGATAGAAGCCCAATTGATCAAACCCGGGAGCCGAGTAAGGGTACAACACCTGGCAGCACCTCTAGTGCAATACGCCCCCCCCCAAAAAAAAATATATATATATATTTAGACCAGAAAGCCATGTCCGCAGCCCTTCTAGAAGCACATCCCTTTTTGCATGATTTGTAATGATGCCTATATATATGGCACTTTTATCAATGAAACGACATGAGAATTAGGTCATTTCTTTCGTTCCACTCCCCCTCTTCCCCTGCAATTGGCAGTAACTCACCCATTGGTATTAGAGCTTCAGTGAAGGAATCGGCAACCCACCATGCCATCCACCAGGTCATCTTCCATCGAGGAGCACATGGATAAGCTCAAGACAGATATGCACAAGGTGCTGGGAGATCTCAAAGAGATGAAAGAGGCGATCTCTGTGATGACAACTAACCTCGAGAAGGTGGCGTCAACCAAACAGAAGGACGAAGAAGTTGAGAGCTCACACCAGGGCAGCACACGCAGGCCACAGTTCAGGTCGGGCAAACCTCCCAAGGTGGACTTTCCCTCCTTCTCAGGTGACGACCCTATCTCTTGGTGTTTTAGAGCTGAGCGATACTTTGAGATTCACGATGTCCTTGGACATCAGAGAGTAGCATTGGCCTCTGTTTATTTGGAATGAAATGCTATACTGTGGTACCAGTGGTACCGGCGTTCACACCCCTAGATAGGTTGGACAAACTTC